ATGAGTCGGTGAAACTCCGACGAAACAGTTTGTCACAGCCCCTCGTTTGTTGTCCTCTTCTCTCTCTCTGCCTACGGTTTTACCGGGCAGTTCTGTTTGTGACGATATATATATACATAGAGAGAGAGAGAGGGGAGCAACGAAAAAGCAGAAAATAAAAAGAAATGAACACAAAGAGAGAGAGAGAGAGCGAGGAGCAACGAAAGAGCAAAGAACAAAAAAAAATAAGCACAAGTAAAAAAAGAAAAACAGTTTGATATGAAGATTTTTCGTTTCATTTAAGTAATCAAGTGGCCGTAGTATGATCAAGGCACAATTATTGCGCAGTGGAATTAATATTGACTTTAAAAAACGGAATAATATTACGTCAATTTTTTTTAATTTTTTTTTCTCTCTCTCTTTCTCTCTTTCTCCTTCCCCCTTTATTTATTTGTTTTATCCTTCCCATCTCTCTTGTAGGGGCAATTACTTAATTGATATCGAAGACGACCATCTAAGAATTTGTCATTAAGGCAACACCTTTACAACCACCCAATCAACATCTTTGTCTTCCCATCTCTCTTAGAAGACCAATCAACTTCCTTCACTGGAACGATAGTTTTGTAACACCTCACGAACAAAAACTCGTTGCAACACTTTGCGACGATATTCCTTAAAAGTTTCGAATCAAGCCTGTCTTTGTCGATTGTAATCGAGATGAATTGCAACATCCACACCTCTTCAAGTGTTCGTACTTGTATTCAATTCCGCTGCTGCTTCCATAATATCTTGCACCATGTGAGAACTGTCAAGATAGGATAGATGTGCAAGTGTCTTTTTCGTACCAATAAATTCAACAGAGTCGTACATCGTAATGTTAAAATTAGAAGAACTTGGTTGTTCCAATGGTCTTGTATGGACATGCAGATCGTCTCTTGATGGTGTATGAGCGGGCACAATACAACTGACAAGAGACTGGGTAGCCGTAGCGGCTGGCAAAGCAGAAACAACAATAGAAGTAGTGGCAATCGGCGTTGACACATCGGAAGGTGAATCATAATCCGCAAGACGTTGAAAATTTAGAGGAGATGCTGCTTGAAGGGGGAGTCTATGGACCGGAGCGGAATGAGGAGTGGAAGAAACAACCACAGGAGGAATCCTTTTGAGAAGTTGTTGTATCCGTGCATATTTGTGAAAGGCTTGGGGAATGATCCCTTCGGTCGGACAATGCGAGAAATCAAATGTTATCATAGTAATTTCCTCATTAGATAGAGCGATGAACTCATCGTTCAAAAATGATTGCAACATGGAAGAAGCCTCAAAATCCGAAACATTCAACGGGTCTGAAGGAAGAGGGGATCGTCGTTCTAACCGCATATTAGTGAGTTTGTTTCTTGTTCACTCGAGAAAGTTTTTTCATATTCGTCCATCTTTCTCGATTGTGTCACTTTTAACAAACATTTCAAAAAGCACCTCAGTCAAGATATTTTGGATGCCAACCTTCTTCGTATCGTCAAACCATCTAGTAAGGTAAGTGCCCAGATTCGGAGTGCTAATTGTGGGTGCATCGTTATCATCGGGCACCACAATAACCCCCGGAGGATTTTGCGGTTGCGATGTAGCGCAAACATATTTTTCGCGTCCACTACGTTGAGATTGCGAAGACGAATCATAAACACGTGCACGCCCAGCAAGCGGTGCACAAAACGGAAGACATAAAAGTGCATAATCGGGGAGCGTATTCAGTGCTCTTGCAATCTGAGTTTTTGTTTCATCAACAGGTTGTCGTCCTTCCTGATTATCAGCCAAGGTAGGCTCCACCATTTTAGAGGAATCCAAAAGATTAGTTTTCGCGCCACGACTTTTTTTCTTTTGAAAGTAGATTCAACATAGTCTTCTTTCGAATCACCCGTAACGGTATCATCCTTATCATCGACAAATGTAAGGTTAACAGACTCACCCGACTGAACTCTACGGGAACCGTCCCCATCGACACGACAATCGTCACCACCCCCCTCCACAACCATGTTCTCAGCATCATCAAAGGTATTTCTTTGCGAACATCGACGTTCAACCTCACCAAGAAAATGATGATCGTCCCGAGGATGTTCACTTCCAAGATTCACCGACCTCTCATCATTTTTACTTTTCTTCGACCTCTTCGAATGTTCGCCTCCAGGTTTTGACGTAACATTCGTATCATATTGAGTGATATTGTTGTTTTCCGTTGCGTTCCTCTTATCACGAGTGTCGTACTTATGCGGCATTCGGGAGTCGCCTGCAAAGAAAGAATATGACAAAATTATTTGGAAAAATATGACAAAATTATTTGGAATGCCAAGGCTCGGTGAAAAAAAAAAAAAAGACTCATTCAAAAAGTTCACGATATACAATGTTCTTCGTTAAAAAATTCTTATCAGGCAACGCAACACGGATGTTGTTGGGATGACCAACACGCAACAAAGCAACATACAGCTGGTCATGCGCAAAAACCGATTTGCGTAGCCAAACCTCGGCACACGATATGGTTTGTTCTTGCGACTTGGTAATCGTTACAGCAAAAGGAAGACGGACTGAAAATTGCCTCCTAAACCAGTTGAACCCAGTTGTCTCACCATCGCTTGTCAGATCAATATTGTGTTTACCCGTGTGCATTATTATCACTTCCAACAAATCATCATTAACGATTTTCTTCAGAATCCGCCTTGTACCGTTGCAAAGTTCTTGCTTCGATGACAAATTTCGCAAAAGCATCACAGACGCACCAAGTTTTAAGCGCAGTTTGTGAGGTAGAAGACCAGAGTCGTCGAGAGAGTTTAAGAACTCCCGCTTAATACCAAGCCCGGTATCACCTGAATCAGGATAATCAACGCTGAAAAGGTTACGCACCTTCCCAGGAAAGTCGTCAAGAACATGGTTGTTAACAAAATCGGCATCGTCATTAGTATGACATAGAATTAATCGAGGCAAGAAATACTCGACATCCCCCATATGGTTCGACACATCATCAAACGTCCATGAAATCAACTCATCAATTGGTTTATCCGTACAAATCTCACGTGGAAATCTGACAGCAAGAGGTTCAGTAGGAACAACACGAGGATGGTCACCATTCCCAATACACATAAAAAAGTGGGCATACATTCGTGTCATACCATCATTCCCTAAGCTTAAGATTCACATATTTTCGGTTAGTTGATGAATCTAAAAAAGTTTTCACAAATGAGACATTTTCATGGACGCATCAATTTGTTGCGCTCGCGATCCGTGTTTCACAACGGACAAAACTTGTGTAAAATCCCCAGCTAGACGGTTCGTCATTGTTACAAAGGTCCCGAAGCGTGATGTCAAGAGCTTCCAAGTGAAACTTGTTACTCATCGGAGCCTCGTCCCAAACAATCAAGTCGGCACGACGGATGAGCTCTGCAAGATCACTTTGGTTCGAAATCAAGAAGGGACGCGTATTATCAGGTTTTAAAGCTGCGCGAAATCGTGAGTGAAACGTTTGACCCCTCGTCAAAAGAGTCGTCATTATGCCACTGAACGCGACGGCCAGTGCCATGGCAAAATGCAACCTGATGCCCGCCAAAATCGTTTCAATGCAAAAAGTCTTCCCTGTTCCAGCCGGTGCATCGACAAAAGCACGCAACGGTCTTTTATCTTGCACAGCCCGAACGATTATTTCCACCAACACTCGTTGACGTGGACGAAGACGTCAAAGTTCGAAGAAATGAACGGGATCGTTCACCGGACCAAACGCAAGAACCATAGCAAATATTTTACGAATTTTTTCGAGCATGTACTGCGCATCGACT